TGGCATGGCTCGGCTCAGGGTCAACTGGCACAGTCCCAATCGGTCAGCCAGCTCCCTCTGGAATGCCCCTGTTGCCTGAACCCCAGTGTGGTCAGCACCTGTATGGATACAGGCAGCACATGGCTCCTTGCGGTGTCACGCTCCAAGACCGGCCGCATGCGCACAGTTCCAGGAGGATTGCCCTCGGGAACCTAAAGCAGCTGATGAGCCAGTTGTCATCATGTGCCAGTGCCATCTGTCTCGGAATACATGCTCTCTTCGTATTGTGCCATTTACAAATCTTCTAATACTGCTAAAGCAGCCGTTGTTTTTAATGGCATTTTCGGCACCACTTTGCGCATGCTTTTATATCCACTCATCTAATTGCAGACACGTGGGTGTGTTAATTGTTCATCAGTGTTAATTGTTCATGTGCCTCTGATGTGCACATCACTCTGAGGACTAATTGTTTTCACATTTATTTATTATAACAGTTTCCCAGTATCACCTCTAAGTGTTGCCAAAGGATCAACAGCTGTAGAAACGTGTGTATGCCAGCCATGAAGTTGACGTGAGGCACCGCACATTTCCACGGTCATTTCACTCTTGATACATCTGAACTTTGCCGTGGAAAAGGACGTACGCCACGTTTTTGTGCGTATGCACCCTTTGTACATGAGGCCCAGGTCTTTTACTCCCCTCACTATCCATCAGTTCTCTGATACCTTTTCCTCTGCTCTCTTCTCTGAAGCTTCCCCTGGTGACCTAGCAAGTAAATAATTTTAATCGCATGTGCAGCAATATTATCAATTCAGTTGCCCCTTTTAAAGTTATAAAAGGAAAAACCAAAACTCAGCCCTGGTTTAACTTCACAACTCGGTCACTTAGGCATGCAGAAGAGCAGAGAGGAAATGGAAGAAGGATAAATTTCAAGTGTCCTACCAGCATCTGAGACAGTGTCTTATTAATTATCAGAAATGTGTCAAAGCAGAGAGATCCAAATACTTTTCAGATATTTATCCAAACATGTCCACAGACCCAAAGTTTTATTTGACACAATTAACTCAGTACTTAAACCAGTATTCACAAAGTCTAATGATGCTACACCAGATACCTGCCAACACTTTCTAACATTTTTCATCAACAAAATTGACAATATTCGTTCCCAGATTGTACCTCCTGCTTTTGATCCTTCAGAGCCATCTTCATGTTCCTCCACTTTAAACAATTTCAACACAAGTTCTCTCTCCACCTTGACACACATAATTTCACCTATGAATCTGAGTTCATGTTCTTTGGATATTATCCCCTCTCACCTATTTAAGGAAGTGTTGAACTCTGTTGGGCCCAGTGTTCTCTCAATAATTAATAGCTCTCTAGTGAACGGCTATGTCCCTACATGCTTTAAACATGCCGTCATTCACCCTCTCATCAAAAAAGAAAATCTTGATCCATCTGTTCCCGGTAACTACCGTCCAATATCAAAGCTCTCATTTTTATCAAAAGTCCTGGAAAAAGTTGTTTTCTCTCAACTCATCTCCTACCTTGACAGTTACAGCACTCGGGACAAATTTCAATCAGGCTTTAGAAAACATCATAGCACAGAATCTGCCCTGTAACAAATGACTTAATATTGTCCTTAGACTCAGGATGTTATGTCACTCTGATTCTCTTAGATCTTTCAGTGGCATTTGATACTGTGGATCACTCCATTCTCTTGGGCCACTTGGAGCATGTTGTTGGCATTCAGGGACTGGCCCCTCAGTGGTTTGCTTCCTACCTCCAAGGCCGCTCAGCCTCTGTCCAAATTGGTCATGTGTACTCCTCCTCTGCTCCCATCTCCTGTGGTGTTCCTCAAGGTTCCATTTTAGGCCCAATTTTATCTTCACTATCCATGCCTCCATTGGGCTCTAGTTGTACCTCCCTTTGAAACCATCAGATCCTTGCAGCATTAATTCACTATTACACTGTATTAATGACATAAAATCTTGGATGGCATGAAGCTTTCTCCAGCTGAACCATGACAAAACTGATGTCCTCATTTTTGGCCCTACTCTGCCTCTGTTACCAGTGCTCTTGGTCCTCTGTCTTCACACTCATGTAAAGAATCTTGGTGTCATCTTTGACTCTGGCTTTAAATTTGATAAACAGGTCAACTCAGTTGTCACCTCAAGCTTCTTCCATCTAAGATCCATTGCAAAACTTAAATCATTTCTGTCCGTAAAAGATTTAGAAAGTCTAGTTCATGCTTTCATCTCTCCCAATTAGATTACTGTAATTCCCTCTACACCGGCATCAACCAGTCAGCTCTGTCACGCTTGCAGCTCGTTCAGAATTCAGCAGCAAGACTCATTCCTGGTACCAGGAGAAGTGATCACATTTTCCCTGTATTGGCCTCGCTTCACTGGTTACCTGTACCAGGAGAGGAGCCTGATAGCTGAAGGCTATAGCTCCTGATCTACTTTTGGAGACTTTAGGGACCACGAGTAACCCTGCGTTCTCAGAGCGCAGTGTTCTGGTGGGATAATATGGCACTATGAGCTCACTAAGATATGATGGAGCTTGACCATTTAGAGCTTTATAAGTTAACAGTAGGGTTTTAAATTCAATTCTGGATTTTACAGGGAGCCAGTGCAGAGAAGCTAAAACAGGAGAAATATGATCTCGTTTCTTAGTTCCTGTTAGTACACGTGCTGCTGCATTCTGAATTAGCTGGAGAGTTTTTAAGGACTTACTAGAGCTACCTGATAATAGAGAGTTACAGTAATCCAGCCTAGAGGTAACAAAAGCGTGGACCAATTTTTCTGCATCTTTTCGGGTCAGGATAGGCCTAATTTTCGCAATATTACACAGATGAAAAAATGCAGTCCGTGAGGTTTGTTTTAAATGAGAATTAAAAGACAAATCTTGATCAAATATTACTCCGAGGTTTCTTACGGTAGTGCTAGAGGCCAGAGCAATGCCATCTAGAGAAACTATGTCATCAGATAAAGAGTCTCTGAGTTGTTTGGGGCCAAGAACAATAACTTCAGTTTTGTCTGAATTTAACATCAGGAAATTGGTGCTCATCCAAGTTTTTATGTCTTTAAGACAGTTATGGAGTTTAGTTAATTGATTACTTTCTTCTGGCTTCATCGATAAATACAACTGAGTATCATCCGCATAACAATGGAAATTTAAAGGGTGATTTCTAATGATGTTACCTAAAGGAAGCATATATAGAGTAGTCTCAAGTCTTTTATTTTTTGTCAAGTCAAGTCACAAGTCATCAAAACAGCGACTCGAGTCAACTCGAGTCCAAGTCACAATGACTCAAGTCCCCATCTCTGCTTGGTTGTGCATAATTGTATCCATTGTAAAGCACTTTGATCAATGATTGTTGTTTTTAAATGTGCTCTATAAATAAAGTTGACTTGACTTGAAGAGAAGTTAGGATATGTCAGCCTCTATTGCATCCAGTTTGACCATTTGTTTTTCAATCCGTGTTTCACAAGTCTTCGAAGTTGATGAAAGTGCAATAGGCCTACTAATTGGCTGTAGTGCCAGTTCAACTGCATGATGCAGTGAGAGCTAGGAAGGAGGAAACATTTTCATCTTCAGCCTGTGCAAAAGAGATAAACTTGTTCTCAGAGGAGAAGCTGTGAGAGCTTAACTTTTGAGCTTTAGATGGCAGGCCAAAGGAGACGGAAGAGAGTGCGAGGGCCAGGACAAACTACCCTCTACTGCTCAATCAGCACTCAGTGATTTGGCCAAGTTTAGATTCTGATCCTCAACTCACTGCAAATATTTTTTGCAAGCACTTCTCAAATTGAAATTTGCCTTTGTGATGCAGAGAGTTCACATTAGGGCTCGTCAGGAAAGCCAACAAAAAAAAAAAAAAAAAAAAAAAGTTTGCTTTCAAAAGTTTTAGTCTCTGCAGTTTGATAGGCACTGGCACAGCTCACAGTAACTGTCTGAGTTGGTTTTGACTTTTTCAGTGTCTTCAAGATGAATTTTAAGAGACTATGACATCAGGCTTACTTGAGGTCAGAGAACAAAGAGGATCTGCTCAAAATACATATTTTTTATGTAATAACAAGACTGTTACCTCATCATACTCTTACTACACACCACAGTCCACTAGGACTGGTTGTAGTCTCTTCCCACGTACTGTAGACTACTAAAATATCATATTTTTAAATGAACTATGACAGGTAACTACTGTCATAATAAAGCTAAACAAAGTATTGTTGTAATCAATTTAAATAAAATATTGTTATAACAAAGCTAAGTACTGTTATAATTAAATAATTCAAGCTCCTGGCTCGTCTCGAGCAGGAAGTGTTGATGTTTTTGCTGTGAACTTGTAGCTTCAGGTCAACAGTCAGATGTTAGCAGTTAGCACAAAGTTAAACTGTTGCTGCTGCACCTTTTAAAAGTGAGAATTTATTCATTGTGAGCTGAAAACAAACTATCAGCTCTCCAATTCATTTATTAATAATATTTGCAAGTTGCACTGCTGCTTCATGGTCACAAAATATGACTCGTAACGGTCTGAAGCCCTGCAGATGAGAAACACACCCTGGCCTTCTCACACTATACCTCAGGAGAAAGCTATCTGGATGGGCACAGGAGTGTGTATGATGCAAATGTTTGAGAGTCTTTCTTTTTGTGTGTGTGTGTGTGTGTGTGTGTGTGTGCGTGCGTGCGTGCGTGTGTGTGTCTCTGTGTCTGTGCGAGTGAGAGAGCCATAGGAAGACCAAAATATCATTCGAGTCTCATGCTGATCACTTAAAAAAAGACAACATGACCGTTAGACTTGATGTTCGTAATGTTGTCATCTTATACATCGCAATTGGAACAAGCTGCGATACATTGAGTATATGCGTTCTTTTGCCCACCCCTTACTAGTTGTATCAAGACCAGAATTAGATGGTGGAGACATTGGGTGTGGTTGTGAAGCTGCAGCGCAGTCACTTCTGGTCTGAAGATCGGGTGTCTGAGCAGAATCAGAGACATATGTGTCCTCTCTGTGTCCACAGAAACTGGCCAACTCTAAACCACATACCTCAAGATTCATTTGTGCCAACCTGCCATGTAACAAATTCAAGAACCGCCTGGTGAACATCATGCCTTTTGAGTCCACCCGCATCTGCCTGCAGCCAATCAGAGGAGTGGAGGGCTCTGACTACATCAATGCCAGCTTTATTGATGGATACAGGTGAGTCCAGAGCTTGCTATTGCATGATTTATGACTTGAACATGAAAGAAAAGAATGTTTAATGGGTTTTTATTACTTCAAATTACTTTAATGAAAAAACTTTTAAAAAGCCTCTGCACTGGCACACCAGTTAAAGCATAAGGACCAGAGATGAGAGTCGTTCAACAGGTTATTGTCTTTGCGTAGGATTTTCACTTTAGTTGACTGGCAGATAATTTAATGGCTAACAGGCAAATAAAAATAATGATCAGTAAACAGAGGAACTTCAATAAATCTTAATCAAAGCACTCATTCACTATTAAACAAATCAACACCAATAACTATCAAATATCCATAACCAGAGGTGAAAGTAAGTCACACATGAGCAAGTTACAAGCAAGTCTAAAGTCTTAACTTTCAAGTCTGAAGCAAGTCCCAAGTCACTGTGGTGAAAATTAAGCAAGTCAAGGTGAGGCCCTGCTGTAAGTCGAGCAAGTCACAAGTCAAGTCATACTCACAAACTCATAAAGATAAAATACTATCCACCTTATTCCTCAGGGCACTACTGTAGAAATGATTATGGGTAAAACTTTCAGTGAGATAGCAGAAGTAGTTGGTTGCATTGGCTGTCTATGGTTAGTCTTAGTAGCTAATCTTGGTGGCAAATACTGCTTTGTCTTTTTAACAGATATTTTACTAATGTTAAATTAGCATGTTCTAAAATGTCCTTTGGTCCTTTGAGCTTTGGTGCCTGTTGTGTTGTCCGTGTCTGTCACGTTATAACAACCAGACAAAGCTAAATTTGTGGCTTCAACAATAGTGTTAAACATGCAACCAGAACAAAAAGGAAGTTCCTGTAACCACCACTGCAGTTCACTGCCTACAGAGACGAAAAGGTTGCCACCTGTACCGTACAACATTAATATCAGATCGTCTTGTATATAAAAAACATACACTGTCCCTTACTAAATCAATACAGCACAGGATTTTTCCCATATTTTTGTGCACTCCTTACTCTGATGTACTGTATACACTAGGTTTTCACATGCTTGGAATGACATAAGAAAAAATAAAACCAAAATAGTTTTTAGAGCAGAGAAGTATGAATCAGAATTTGCGGGTAAGTGACAGGTCTGTCACTAAACGTCAGTACATGATGTCTGTCTCCCCTGTCTGACTGCATTCTCAACCTACATTAGAATATTGCCTGTTATAAAATAAACTCAGCAGCATAATGTTACCTTGAATTATGTGTTTAGTCATCTCGTCTGAGAGTGTGTTACTGATACACCGTATCCCTTTCATATATATTTTCACTCTCTTTTTTTAAATTCAGTGAATGCAATGCACTTCTCTACAAATCTGAGTGTTTTCTTCTCATGCCACTTTCTGTTTCTCCTCCACTACTTTCATCCAATAGCTTTGTTACGTGTAATTTTACAAATTAGGATTTTTGCATAGAAAACATATGAAAATGTACAAGTACAGCTGGAACTATCAGTTGATTAATGAATTGACAGAAAATAAACTGGCCACTATTTTGATAATCGATAAAGTTACCTTTAAAGCAAAAACATTCTATGTTTCAAGCTACAAGTGTGCTTTGGGCTTTGATAATTTAATAATTTAAATGTAATTTTTTTTATAATGTTGATGTTTGGACTGTTGGTTGGACAATACAAACAATGGTGTTGTTTTGGGTTTTGGGTCATTTATGCATGTATCAGAATCATCATCTAACAATATTACACCAGACTGTAACAGTCAAAGGGGACATTTTCCTCAGTACAGTATGTACTTTTAATACTTTAAGTATTTTCATTACATCACATTTTGCTGATTATAGTTATATATTTTTACTTAAAGTCTGTGTAAAGCAGCAAAAAATGTCTGTTATACATTTGTCACATCACAGAAATATGTGTCATTAATCACTGAGCCAAATTTGAAAGATTAAAAAAATCACTAAGTATATAAAATTTGCTCTCAAAATCATGGAAAAACAAGCAGCTGTCATATGTCAAATGAACATGTATTTATTTATTCATCTATTTATTTATTATTCATTTGTTTCTTCCTCGTTTTTTTGTTTCATTTTGTTTTTGTGTACACACTGATAAAGTCAAATATATATTATGGAGATAGCCATATGATCATGTTATAATATACTGAGCATAATGCGAACATGATTTGAAGAATTATATTATTATTATTATTATTATTATTATTATTATTATTATTATTATTATTAAGATGCAAATAAGATGCAATTATTAAGATGTAAATAAAATGACAACAGGGGTGTTGGGGGTTTCGCCGGGCTGGGTGGGCTTGGTAGGTGCGGGGGTGTCCTCATGCCTGGCTCTCCGGTGGCGTGGCAGGACCCCTGGTTGGGGCAGATGGGCGGCGGGGCTGGCCGGGCCTACTCCTCTCAAACACCACAGAGCCCCTCCATGTTGGGCAGATTCCCTCCCAAGGGCTCTGGGAGTTGCCCAAAAGCGGGACTGCCCTAAATAGATAATATATATATATATATATAAACACAAATAAATACTATATGGAAAAGAACAAAAGTAACAATGAAAAGAAAGAGAGGAGTGGACCCCTGTCAGTCTGCCCTCCAGGCATGCTGCTGGGTCCGGTGGTGGGGGCCCCTGCCCTCCTGGCCTCATCCTGCCCCCCCCTCACAGGGTTGCATTGTTACATTGTTATAAGTGTATATATTACTGTATTGTGCTCTTATATTATATCATATTATTATCATACTATATTACTTTATTATACCAAGATATGTCATACTTAATTGTACTAATTGTACAGCCTCCCTCCCGCTCCCCAACAAAGACACAATGAACTATGCTCTCCGTAGAACTGAATATGGACATTTGACCCTTAATAACTACATTTTCATTTCTTGTTTCATTCTATGTTATTGTCTGTAGTTATGTATGTTCCCCCCGTCATGTCTGTTTATGTGTTCACCATGTCATGTCACTGTTTTTGTCATGTAATTTCACGAATAAAAAAAAAAAAAAAGAGAACCGTCACCTTATCGTGGTGGAGGAGTTTGAGTGCCCTAATGACCCTAGGAGCTGTGTTGTCAGGGGCATTTCGCCCCTGGTAGGGTTTCCCATGGCAGATTGGTTCTGGGCGAAGGGTCAGACGAAGAATGGTTCAGAAGACCCTTCATGATGGAAGATAACAAGAGTTGGTGTACCTGGCCCGGAGGGTTACCGGGGCGCCGCCCTGGAGCCAGGCCTGGGGCTGGGGCCCGTGGGCAAGCACCTGGTGGACGGGCCTTCGCCCATGGGGTCCGGCCAGGCCCAGCCCGAACCGGCTACATGGGCTCGTCCCCCTGCAGGCCCACCACCCGCAGAGGGATCCAGAAGGGTTCGGTGCAGTGTGGATCGGGCAGCAGACCAAGGCGGGGGCCTTGGCGGTCCGATCCTCTGCTACGAAGGTTGGCTCTTGGGACATGGAATGTCACCTCTCTGGCGGAGGAAGAGCCGGAGCTTGTGGAAGAGGTTGAGCGCTACCGGCTAGATATAATCGGCTTCACCTCAACACATAGTTCCGGCTCTGGAACCCAAGTCCCTGAGAGGGGTTGGACTCTCTCCGTGGCTGGAGTTGCTCCGGGCGAGAGGCAGAAGGCCGGGGTGGGCATTCTGATAGCCCCCAGACTCTCTGTCTGTACGTTGGGGTTCACCCAAGTGGATGAAAGGGTTGCGTCCCTGCGCCTTCGGGTCGGGGAACGGGTCCTGACTGTTGTCTGCGCTTATGCGCTGAACAGCAGTTCAGAATACCCACCCTTTTTGGAGTCCCTGGGACGGGTGCTGGACAGTGCCCCAACCGGGGACTCCATTGTTCTGCTGGGGAACTTCAACGCTCACGTGGGCAATGACAGCAGGACCTGGAGGGGTGTGATTGGGAGGAACGGCCTGCCTGATCTGAACCCGAGTGGTGTGCAGTTATTTCTGTGCGGGTCGCAGTTTGGCCATAACTAACACCATGTTCGAGCATAAGGATGTCCGTCGGTGCACGTGGCACCACGACAGCCTAGGTCGCAGGTCAATGATTGACTTTGTAGTCGTGTCATTTGACCTGCGACCATATGTTCTGGACACTCGGGTGAAGAGAGGAGCAGAGCTGTCAACTGATGAGTGAGTTGGATCAGGTGGCAGGGGAGGACGCCGCGCAGACCTGGCAGGCCCAAACGAGCAGTGAGGGTCTGCTGGGAATGCCTGGCAAGATGATCTTCAACTCCCACCTCCGGGAGAGCTTCGACCGCGTCCCGAGGGCAGAGGGGGACATTGAGTCCGAATGGGCCTTGTTCCGCAAGGCCGCGGGGGCCAGTCGCGGCGGTAACCCCCGAACCCACTGGTGGACATCAGAGGTGAGGGGAGCCGTCAGGCTGAAGAAGGAGGCCTACAGGGCATGGTTGGTCTGTGGGTCTCTGGAAGCAGCTGATGGGTACCGGCGGGCCAAGTGGAGCACAACAGCGGCAGTCGCGGAGGCAAAAACTCGGGCATGGGAGGAGTTTGGTGAGGCCATGGAGAAAGACTATTGATCGGCTCCAAAGAGGTTCTGGCAAAATGTCCGGCGCCTCGGGGGGGGAGGCGACAACTTGCTCACACTGTTCACAGTGGGGGCGGGGAGCTGCTGACGTCAACTGGGGACATTGTCAGGCGGTGGAAGGAATACTTTGAGGAGCTCCTCAATCCCACCAACACGTATTCCAGTGAGGAAACAGAGCCGGGGGTCTCGGGGGCGGGTCGTCCAATTTCTGGGGCAGAAGTCGCCGAGGTAGTGAAGGAACTACGTGGCGGTGGGGCCCCGGGGGTGGACGAGATTCGCCCTGGATATCTCAAGGCTCTGGATGTTGTAGGGCTGTCCTGGCTGACACGCCTCTGCAACATTGCGTGGACATCGGGGGCAGTGCCTCTGGAGTGGCAGACCGGGGTGATGGTCCCCATCTTCAAGAAAGGGGACCAGAGGGTGTGTTCCAACTACAGGGGGATCAC